AAAAAAAAAACGGGAAAAAAAAAAACCGGAAAAAAAAACCGAAAAAACAAAAAAGTAATGCTTTTTTTGCCTATTTGAACTTGGACGACGAGGATGTTGCCATTAAGTGTTTTTCTTGCCTATCCGAACTACGAATACGTTCATGTTGCCATGACGTGTTTTACCTGCCTATTTTGAACTAAAAGTGTGACTCTGGAGCAGTTTCCTCAAAAAAATAACAGCAAAAAAAAAAGATGGCCCTACTCGTAAATCAGTTTTAAAAAAGAGGGAAAATAGAAAAAAAAAAATCCATCAAGCTCAAAGAAAGGAAAAAGAAAATTAATAAAATCCAAAGCAAAAAAGAAAATGCCGCTCGTGTACATCATCTAGAAAACAAAAAAGAAAAGGGAAAATTTGTCTTGCGCCCCTGTAATTTCCATTATTTTATGTTGCCCCCCTTCGATGGCCCACTTACCCTGTCCCTCCCCTCTGACCAATGACCATGATTCAAATTTCCCATAAAACCCCGGCGTCGGCTGGGCCTGAAATATTTTTGTTATACCCCTACCGCTACCCGTTCCAAATTCGCAGTATGCCCCTACCGGATAGCCGTTGAGTGCAAGCCTCAAAAGTTTCCATATGCCCCTACCGGAGGGGTGCATGTTTTCAGCGCACTCCTATGGCTATGCACATGGCGGCCACTCTATTTCCGTCTCTCTCTCTCTCTCTCTCTCTCTCTCTCTCTCTCTCTCTCTCTCTCTCTCTCTCTCTCTCTCTCACACACACACACACACACACGCACACACACACACACACACACACACGGTCACACACGGTCACACACGGTCATTTCTTGCTGCAGTGCCACAATAACCACCTGCTTCAAAAACGAATTTCTGTGGCGAGTGCATGATGGAAAGATGTATGCCACTCACGAGGGCATATAGCACAGGGACCGGTGAAATGAGACTGGCCGTTCATTAAGGGCACCGTGGAACGTTGCGCCCCTTGCTCACAGGGGCATGCAGGAAAGTTCAGAGGCCCGAAGGGCACGACAGGGTAAGCGGGCCGTCGGAGGGGCGCGACGCAAAATAATGGAAGGGGTAACTAGGGCGCAGTCACGAAAGCAGTTTGTAAAGGCATTTCGAACTGCCGTTTTGGAGTCCAGTCCGGTCCCAAGTTTCAACTGCAGTCGAAACTCTCTACATGCACAACAGTCGCAAGGCCGAGTTTGCAACTGCAGTCCAGTCCGGCACGTGGCCTTTTTTTTTTTTTTTTTTTTTTCAAACATCTCGGCCGTGGCCCAGCCACGCGACGAGATGCTCTCTCTTTCTTTTTTTTTTTTTTCTTTTTGTTTTTACCTCGGATGTGGCCGAGGCATCGCGGCAAGTGGCCAGCCACGCGACGGTGCTCAGATATTA